TCAAATAGACGCACCACGCAAAATACGATAAAAACAAAGAACAAAAAAGAAAGATGGGAAACCCTGAACCAACGCGCAAAAGCGGCTGAACACTACATCTACAACCTTACTTAAAGTAGAAAGCTAACCAGACACCAGACCCTAGTTCTAGGGAAAGGAATGAAATTCATCCCCACACCACACCAGCCCTACCGAAAAAATCGGACGTCACCAGAGACTGGCTAAACCTGGTACGCAGAATGAGGAACCGGTACAAATTCTACGGGAAAAAAACACAAGGAAGCCGTTTTAAAACACGTTCAAACTACACCCCTATGACATCCCCGAACGTCTGGCTAGAGTCATACCTGGACGCCACGAGAGCTGAACTCTACGATACCATACTCAAGACAAAAGCCAACCCTACAGAATCAAATGGAAAGTATCCAAAACTAAAAAAAATAGAACCGTGAACGAAAATACAGGAAATCTCTCTAAAGGCGAACGTCGAGCTTTAAATTGGCCGAATTACGGAAAGCCACCGACATTGTCATCCGTAAAGCAGACAAGGGAAACGCAATTTCCATCATGGATAGGGACGCCTATATCAACGAAGGCATACGCCAGCTGAACGCTGCACACCACTACAGGAAAATTGAGCAAAATATCACCATGGAAACCGCCCGCCTTATCAGCAGTTTTCTACACGAAGGGTACAAAAAGAGAGAAATTGATCAATCAACCCTTGAATATCTAGATCCACTGCAAACTCCTCTCGCAACACGCACCCCGGACTTGTATCTTCTCATGAAAATTCATAAAAAACCCCAAACCACGGGTAGACCGATCATAGCCTCGAATTCCTGTCCCACAGAGAGAATTAGTGAATTCTTAGACTATTTCCTCATACCCATAGTCCAAAAGCAGACGACATACCTAAAGGACACGCCAGATTTCATCAGACACGTTAAAAAACTGAAAATACCAGACCAAGCCCTCCTAGTTACAGCTGACATCTGCAGCATGTACACAAATGTACTCCACTCGGATGTCATCTCAGCCGTCAGAGCTGCACTGGAAAAAAATACCTACATGAAATATGACATCAAAAGACCGTCAACTAACTTCCTGATAGGGCTTCTGGAACTTATTTTAAAAAGAAACTCCTTCCAATTTAATAATGAAAACTACATCCAAATCAATGGCGTGAGCATGGGCTCACGGGTATCACCGGAGGCATCGGATCTAGCAATGTACCCTTTTGAACTCACACTCATAGAAGATTACAAAACGAACATTATCTTCTACAAAAGATACAGGGATGACATTTTCCTACTCTGGCTGGGCGACGAATCAAGTCTAAAAACCTTTTTCGAAAATGCGAATACACGGCACCCGACGATAAAATTTACCTACGATTTCTCTAAGAATGAAGCTACGTTTTTAGACACGTATCTCTTTAAAGGGGACAATTTCAAGACCACGGGACACCTGGAAACAAAAGTTCACACAAAATCAACGGACACATTCCAATATCTCCATAGAACATCATGCCACCCGCCATCGGTTTTCAAGGGCTTAATCAAAGGGGAATGCACCCGATACGCAAGAAACAACACAATAAAGGAAGAATTTGAAATAAAAAAGACTTTCTTTATTAATAAATTAGCAGAACGAGGATATGACAAGAACTGGTGCGAGAAAATAGCTGAACAAGTAGATTACGAAACGTTCCACACGAACGAACCTATGACCGCAAAATGCCCACGCACTGAACTATGTGAAGCTCCGCTAATCTTCACAACTACTTACAACCTTCACACTAAAAGTCTGAGGGAAGCCCTACGTAAAAACTGGGATCTTATAGAGAATAGCGAAACTTTGAAAAATATCTTCCCAAACCCACCAGTGCTTGCCTACAGGAGAAACAAAAATCTCTCAGATATCATCACATCAAGCAAATTAAAAAGCAATAAACCCAACCAAAAGAGGGATAATCCAATTTAATAACGTATTCCAAATCGGATTCGGTCCTTTTCAGGCCCAACACTATACAGCAGAAAGATACTACACACAAAAGTGAGCTTACCCATAACCACCAACGTAAGAACTGCCCTTATAAGGACCCAAAAAAGGTTAATTACCCTAACAACAAATATGATCTCAAGTCTAAGATCACAAGGAAAGTTTGAAGAACCATAATATTTCTGCCCATCTCAGGACCCCGTTTTTATTTGTTCACATACCTTAAAAGGAAAGACAAGATAAAGTACACACAACAACAAAAGATCACTATTCAGGAAATCAAACCACAATTCACCTTCTCCAAGCTTTAAATTAAGAACCAATCAGATAAGGAGCACGCAATTGACCTAAATAGGAACTCCACCAATCAGGGAAATATATGATAACCTGCATACAACCGTAGCACGACTCACTTGAACCAATCAGAATGAAGTAACATCAAGGAGACCCTTGACGTCCGAGCACTCCTTACTTATATTCAGATTAATCTCTGGATCAAACATAAGTCTGTCTACACAGCAACCTACCATGTACCCTGAGAGTAAAATGCACCGTGATATCTTAAGAGAGAACGCAACCAATGGCCAAAACAACGACAACTGGAGTCAAAGAAGTGGCACACTACAGGACCACCAAAAAGCAGAATCCCTAAACGCCCAGCACCCCTGACCGCGCCGCAAAACTCAAATAATCCCCACCATGAAGAAGTGAGGGAAGCGAAGCAGTACGCGGCCGGCTGCCAAGAGTGGGCCGAGCACATCACGAAACAATTAGCCAGGGGAAGTCACAACGTCCGGGCCAGAGTTGACGTTAAGGGCTGTCCTGACTATGAAGTCCTACTTACCCAGCTCATCGAGATACAAGAAAAGGCCTCAACCCAAATCAAAGAGACAATAGAACACCACATCGCTACTTTTGTCGAGAATGCGAAGGGGAAACTAGCGGAGGCCTCGGCCCGGGAATCCCAGGCGGAAGCCTTCTACAAGGTCCATGGTACATATGAAATGCGGGAATTAAACCAACCACCACCCACCCCTGACTCCTCTCTTATAGAGCAAGTACGTGGCCTGCTCCTGAAGATGAAGACGAAGAAGAAAAGAGCCGTCATCTCCACTAAAGCAAAACGAAAGACAACCGCCACTCTTAAACGACTCTGAGAGGAAGACCCATTACAAAACAACAGCCCTTTTCAGGGCTACATGTTAAATAAAGCAAGAAATAAAGAACACCCTCCTGTCACACACCTTAAGCGAGAAACTTTAACGTCTACTCCCAGGAGAAATAATATCTTTCCTTAATCCCTACAACACCCAAGGGCAAATTAACCCCCCCCCCCCAGAAAAAAACACGGGGAAATGAACTCAACAAATCTAAAAGGGCAACAGAAATGCTCACATCGCTCCAAACATGGATGTCTCTATTGAAACGCACACACGTTACTATCCACTATACCGTTTTTCTTAAAAACCTGTTTCAAAGAAACGAGATCCTAAAACGCACATAACAAGCCGAATGGTCGTAAACATATCTTACAGAGGCAACCCCCCTAGAACACTACGTCTAGATCTAGGTGTCCTCCAGACAACCTTACACCTCAAACCCTTACTACAGAATGACCATTGTCCAATCAGAAGAGGCCATGTCGGTCAACCAATCAACGGACACTAGGGGCTATTTAGAGGCCGGGAAGCCACCTGCACAGTCAGTTCTCACTCGACTATTGAGCAATCAACACGTCGCTGTCAGAACCCACTAGCTCACAATAGTGACGACAGACCACGCAGGTGACTGTCCTCACCACCTCTACTGTGCCGCTATCTGTAAGCACCACAGCCACAAAAGCGAGACACTTTTGTGTAACTACGGAAATCGTCACAAGCGAAACCTTGTGCACGCATTCCTCACGGTGATCTGCCAAGCAGACACACACACAAAGGCGAGACACCTTTGTCAGGACGAGACGTCCTAGCACACTTGTGCACCTTGCTGTACATAAGCAGCTACACACAAAGGCGAGACACCTTTGTCGGGACGAGACGTCCTAGCACATTTGTGCACCTTACTCTGCATAAGCAGTCACACACAAAGGCGAGAAACCTTTGCGGAGAAAGTCCTACAATACCAGGACGAACACTCCAGCCTGTGACAACCATAAGGTTAAACACAGTACTGACCACCCCTCCAAACCCCCCCCCCCTTTTTTTTAGGACTCTGCAGCTGATGAAGGTCACTTGTTGACCGAAAAGCGCTTTCTGCAACCAGTCCAACCTCCCCCCACTTTTTTCTGTTTCCCCGCCGCACTGTGCGTAGTTCGTACAATCGGCTTCTCAGGTCAATCACATACAGAGGCGAGACACCTCTCTCACATCTTACTGAAGTGAAAAAACAGGCCGATAATTTTGAATACGGCATTTTTATTACATAATTCGAATCAGAATTATAGTACAGACACGTTCTATCACAGCTTTCATCTCTTCAGTAATACGTGATCACTAATTAAAGGGACTTTTATACAGCAACTCTTACGTCCAAAAAGCAATCTCTAAACTTTGAACCAGGGGCGCTGTCAAAACACACGTCCCCAGGGGCCCAGTCCTGGTTCGTGTTATTTTGATAAGAGTTAGTGTAACTAAGACATGAGCCGGCCACCCCCAAACAACCAAAAACGTGTGTAATGAGCTCCACAGTATGTCTAAAAGCGAAATAATTGAATACATTAGCCAACTGTAGGAAGAATTGTTATTTTTCTAACTTTGTATTTATTAAAAGTAAAGAGATGCATATAAACAGGTATTTAGTAGGGGTAAAGCAGTGGTAAGAGGCAAGGTTATACATGTCAGAGTGTTAATGTTCATGGTGCATGTAACTCTGGATTTATCACGTTTAACATACAGGAATTTATGGTTTAGTAACTAAGATACTTCAAGGCAGTGCAGGAGTAAAATAACGTTTTGCTATATTGTCCAGGTGGACCCTTATTATGCTTTGGTGATATCTTATGGCAAACACCTGACACCAGCATCTTCTGAGTGTGTACAGTCGTGCGATCCCCATCCTTCATGGGGGCAGTCTTTCAGGGATCTTTCACCACCAGTACAAGCCACTTCGTCCATTAGAATGGATCCAGAACCTTTGCCAAACGTAGCACTACCGACTGCAGTTGCAACGCTGTCGCTACAAAATAAATTATACTGCATTTAAGCTATAGATGTAGCAGAAGTTTCAGGTAAGTTATCTTAAATGGCAGTTGAATTTCTATGGTTTTAATTAAATAACTAGAACTCCTTTAAGTAAAGACAGTTCAAGAAATATCAGGTTTACTTATTGAACAGAGCTTTATGATATAATTAAATATAAAGTCATTAACAGGTTTCATAATCTGGATTTGAAGTCACAAGATACTAACAACATGTAAGACCCCATTCCCAGAGATTAGATCGATCCAACTAGATCGACCTAACTCCCTGGGGGTACACGCTAAATAGCTGCCAGCAAAGCGGGCACGAAAGGTAATTACCCCTTTACAGCGTGTAGTAGGCGGGACGGACAGTTAAGCCGGATTATCTGACAGTAATCTAGTGAGACTCCTCACGGGGATAGATCGATCTAAAATCTTTGGGAATGCACACTAAGAGTTCATGAGAAATAAATAGCTTTTTCATAGTGAAGTCACTGGGTGGTAAAATACACATTTTTTAATTTTCTTATTTTCTCATGAACATTTTCATCTGCAAACTAATAAAAAGTGGCAATGTATCCTCCATTATGCATACTACAAGATAAAAGTCATATACTAAAATAAAATAAGATTTATGAAGTTTTGTAGGAGGGAGTCAAATTTCATAGGGGGAGGTGAGATTTTCACTATGGCATTATGACTCCGATAGTCAGATTTTCATGCTACACCTTCCCCTTTAACCTTTTACCGCCCAAAATAACTTGTAATAGTTCTCTCATCACTTGACAAATGGTAATTCACCATCGGACATAAACGGTAAAACGTCTAAAACATCAATAAAAACGTGGCCGATCCTCATACTTCTGCTTTCTGGTCGAATTTTTCTACTTTTATAATATCTGATGACTGGGCGAGTCGGTTGTTTTGAATAACTGTGACTTTACACTTAAGTTTTATTAATGTTGTTAAGACCTGATTCCTGTTAATTTTCCATAATGAAACTCTACCTTAACGCTCTGCCCTTGAAGGAAACTTAATTATCTTGCTAAGTAAGAAAAAATTAATTGTATTAAAAGTATATATCTTAAAGTTTTACTCCTACATGAATAAGGTTATATACAACGATGGCAAAATATTAAAAAAATAATATTCTCGTGTAAATAAATCACTCTCTGGTCTAAAACCATTACTATCCCTTTATACACATTGTAAATTGACAAAGTTGGTATTTATCTTGCTGAAAAAAACTTTAGACTGCATTCTCATAACCTTATCGTACTATTAGGATCGACCTATCTCAGCGGGTATTCTTGCTAAGGCAAAGGCAATGTAATCAGCTTAATTGTCTGGCACGCCCCCTCGCAAATCAACATAAAGAACATCATTGGTCACAAAGTATTCCCGACCTTACCCAAGTACTTTAAGTTACGTGCAGGTGTGATAACTTAACCGTTGTGCTTACTTGTAACCAAAAATTCTGCAGACCACCCGAGCATCGTTGTCATCCCAGCTGTCATCACAGACAGTGCCCCATTCACCATTATGGAACACCTCAACTCTCCCCTCAAGGGCACGAGCACCATCCACCAATCTCACTTCAACTGCAAGGAATTGTGGATAACGAGCAGCAAAGATTTATATAAGCACTTACTAAACGGGGCAAAAAAATCGTGCCCAATGCGAAAGTCATTTAATTAAACAACATTATGATACCCCCTCGGGTCCATGGAAAAAATAATGTAAATGCCATTTTGTAGCATGACTAAAACTAGTCATTTAAGAAAACAATAAGTTCACCACCTGCAGGCCCTGCTGTGGAACATCTGACACCAGCATCCTCATAGTGACCACAGTTGTGTGACCTCCAACCGTTGTGTCCGCAATCTTTGATAGATGCTTCGTTCCCAGAGCAGGCCACGTTATCCATTAGAATAGTACCAGTCCCTCCACCGAAATGAGAGACGGATAAGGATACGGAATAATTGTTTCTGGAATTTGTAAGCCATGCCAAAATAAGTTGACATTAGCAGGATTTTTTTTAGAAATGGGAAACATTCTTTATGTTTAAAATGAGTAGCAAAAGCAACATAAAATAAACGATGTACTTACTTGTAACCAAGCATTCTGCAGACCACACGGGCATCGTTGTCATCCCAGCCGTCATCACAGACAGTGCCCCATTCACCGTTATGGAACACCTCAACTCTCCCCTCACTGACACAAGAACCATCCACCAATCTTACTTTAACTGCAAGGAATTACAGATGACGATCAGCGAAGATTTTCATTAGAACTAATCAAACATTGTTTCTTACAAAACTGGGCGACTTTGACGTTCATTTTGAGTATGAAGCTAGCAAAATATGGAAATATTTCTTTTTGATGTCAAGTATATTATATTATATTATATTATATTATATTATATTATATTATATTATATTATATTGATCTTAATGTTTTTGAGTATATTCAAGGTGTTAAAAAGGGCATGAGACTCGGGTCCATGGCAAAATAATTTAAATAACATTATGTAGCATGACTAAAATACATGATTGAAGAAAACATTCTGTTCACCCACCAGCTGTTGTTGTTGTTGTGCGACATCTGACACCAGCATCCTCAGAGTGAGCACAGTCGTGTGTCTTCCAACCGTTGTGACTGCAATCTTTGATAGAGATCTCACCTCCAGTGCAGGCAACGTTATCCATAAGAATGTTACCAGTACCTTTGCCGAATTGAGCACCGTAAAAGGAAACAGAGCCGCTTGGACTGGAATTTGTACGACACATTAAATTAGTTGACATCACCAGATTAAAAAAAAAAGAAAAACAATCTTACGATTAAAATGAGTAGCAAAAGAAACATAAAAGGAAAGACGTTCTTACTTGTAATCAAGCATTATGCAGACCACACGGGCATCTTTGTCATCCCAGTCGTCATCACAGACAGTGCCCCATTCACCGTTGTGAAGCACTTCGACTCTGCCTTCACCGGCACGAGCACCACCAACCAATCTCACTTCAACTGCAAGGAATTGTGGATAACGATCAGCGAAGTTTTATATAAGCGCTAACCATTTCATAGCACCTTGTTGACAGCAACTTGTTATTATAGAGTGTGACCTACATAAGAGGGTCGTGGGAAATGACACAATTATAAATGTAAACAAGGCGTGTAATAGATGGGTCATGTGCGTTACCATTATTCTCTTATACTTGAAATTTTATATTTATTTCCCCTTTAATTTTATTCTAAAAAATCACTTCATTTGATGAGAAAAGATCAAAATCTATATATATATAACCCACATTAGTGCAGTACAAAATGTAATATTGGTAATTTAATGTTGGCGGCCATATTGGATTTAGCAGTCACTTTGAAGTGTACTAGTAGTTTTTTTTTTTTTTTTTTAATTTGGAAACATAGCATTCTTAAAACCAGTTTAAGAAGAGTGACCTAATTTGTCACATGGTGTTTTCTAGCATGAAAGTTATATGAATCTGACTATTAATTTTGCCAGAATAGAATGCATAAATAAGGTAGTATCAAAATAATTAGAGCGCTGAAGTTAGTGTCTAGTTTCTAGTTGCCAGTTTCGTTTTTTCAAAAACGAACCTGACATCCCGAAACAAGTGTTGTTTTTCAAAAACTAACCTGGCAACTAGAAACCAGTTTCGTTTTTCAAAAACGATTCTGGCAACCAGAAACTAGTGTAGTTTTTCGAAAAAACGATTATGGAAACTAGAATGGTATTGAGAGAAGCCAGAATCGTTTTGCAAAGAAAAAAGGGGTAAGGAGTGGACAGAGTGAAAGGCAACCGGCGTGCTTCCGCAACCAGGTAACCCTCACCACGGAAGCCAGGCAATGTGTTACAGAATGTGGTCAAAATTTTGAACAGCTCAAAATTTTTGCCACGAATTCCCGATTGATCAAGAATTGCAAGAACTGACTACGATTATATACGAATCTGTTAAGAACTTCACGAACTGATTACGATTCAACGACGAATACACGAATCCTGAAATTTTCAATTCCTGGCGATTCGTGGGATTCGTGGTTTGTGTGAAATAGGGGTATTACATAGTCGCGGTACACGATAAACGCCGGTTGCCTCAACCTCCGTCCACTCCTATTTCTCACAGCAAAAACAATTCTGGCTTCTCAGTTGCCAGCATTGTTTTTCAAAAAACGAGACTGGTTTCTTGGCATCAGAACCGCTTTTGAATATTCAATAAAATTAAACATAATACCTCAAACTACAAAGGTAGACCTCGGGGGCCCTTTCCCCCCTCCTCACCCTCATTCGCCAACCCGTAACCCCAACTAAACAGCCTTCCCGGCTTTCGCTGTAAAAGCCGCCTGCACCTCGCAGAGGCGATCAACTCAGCCTCACTGCACGGCGAGGCAATCGTAAACAGCCTGGCAAGCTTCCGCGATGAGCTTTGCCCGTACGCCGTAGACAATAACCGGCGACCGTCTCGGTCTCAGCGCACGTCGAGGAGAGACTGCAACAACCTTCTCGGTTTTCGCAGTGAGGGTTACCTAGTCGCGGTACACGCTATTCACGGGTTGCCTCTCCCTCCGCCCACTCCTGTTTCTCTATGCAAAAACAATTCTGGCTTCTTAGAATCGTTTTTCGAAAAACGACACTGGTTTCTGGTTATGAGAATCGTTTTTCAAAAAACGACACTTGTTTCTGGGCATCAGAATCGTTTTTTAAAAATCCAATAATATAAAAAAAATATATATATTTCAAACTAATTCGGGAGGCCCCTGGGGCCCCTTCCCCCTCCTCACCCCCACCCTTATTCCCCCACCCCCTCCTCCAGGTCCACTTAAACCTCATTCCCGGCTTCCTTCCGCTGTGCAGGTTGCCTGTGGCTGGTAGAGGCGGTCAACTCTACGTCCCAGCACAGCGAGGAAAGACCGTAATATTACAACACCCTGGCAAGCTTCCGCGATGAGGGTTGCCTGTACCATGTAGGCAATAATCGGCTACCGTCTCGGTTTCAGCGCACGTCGAGAAGAGACCGTAACACCCTGCCCGGCTTTCGCGGTGAGGGTTACCAAGTCGGCGTACACGCTCACCGCTGGTTGCTTCGCCTTCCGTCCACTACTGTTTCTCTCTGCCAATACGATTCTGGCTTCTCA